TCAAAAACTTAACCCAGGCAAATGAACTCCTCCGGTCAAAATTGAATCTGTATTTATTTGCGGCAAAGCCGCCTATATCCAAATCTCCAGTTTTTTCTAAACAATTACTAAAACCCAATCGATACTCACAGTACCGCCACGTTGTGGCTTCTTGTTACGATGTAGCCACACTATTGTCTGTTTACACCAACTTGAGTAATCCACACCTATGTACGGTCGCATCATCTTGTGCGACCCGCCCTTTCATACAGGGGTACGTGTAACCCCGTTACACACTCCCCCATTTAGATTATGAATACCCTAATCATATTTAAGGGTCGACTCGTACGAGGCTCGCGTGTCTGAGACACTTTTACGTTCCCGAGACCTTTTTCACGCATTCTTTGCTCAATAAGCCCTGTGTCTATGACACATGAACACTCAGCCTCGCTGGTTCCGAGAGCGCCCGCGGGTAGAGCCCTTCTACGTTCCTGCTCGCGTTGCAACTCCGGACAGTACGACCGCGGCTTCACGGGAGTCACATAACAAGCCCTCAGCAACCGGGCGCCACACACCGCGCCCGCCACATCGACGGACCCCTCGCCGGGGATTCGGAGGAAATCAACTAAGAGTCGAACACTTCTCCCAGCATAGGATGACGAGGAAGCTGAAGTGCGCCAACGGCGCAACGGAAACTTTCAGATCTCAAAACCTTGACACTATGTAACGGGGCTGTTGAGTCAGTAGCATCTTGACGCTCCTCCCGCAAAAAACACTCAAGCTGCTCTGAATTGTGCTATAGACGTTTCTTCTCGTGAATGAACTGTTCTCAGTAGTTCTAGTACTGTAGAAGTTTCCTCATTACCATAGACCAATTTCACATTAAACTTAAAGAACTACTCCTAGGAGATGTTTAAGTAGGGCTGCAAAGCGTGAATAATCAAAATGGTACGCTTTGCACTAAATATATAGGTGAGCTCATCATTCATCAAATGTGAAGATGGATTAATACACTCACGGAACACTTGCGTGAGATATGAGACAGCTTTGATTATGGATTCGAAAGAATTCTTCTTATCTGCTGTCAAATAAATACCGGGACGTGGTGACAAGAGAGCTGCCATGCTTGTTCCTCCCAGATCGGGGTGCGAAATAGATTGATCTGGTTCATAAAACCAGATACTGCGCAACAAGAAAATGATCCTAGACACAAATATACCGTCATATACGCTATTGTTTGTGCAAAGCCCGAACCCGGCTGACGAGTGATGGAATACTTTATCGGAGACACCGATTCACCTGCGATTTTTGTATAGTCTTTGACAGTATGGAACTCCTCTACCGGGATTCGAGATAAGATCTCTTTCTAGGTATAGCCTAGCCGAGAAACCGTTATGGATGAAAGAAATCAGCTACACGCACTCGTCTTCAAATGGGGTATTAATAAGTCATGATGCCGCCCTTGCTAGAAGCAGAAGCGCTCTTGACGTAGGCACAAACCTGTGGCAGCTCTGGTGTGGGGCACGAGAATGCTCACATTAGCAAGCAACATTCGAACGAAAAAAATTAAGCAGATTTTAAAAGACAGAGAAGGCCGTGAGCTGCGGTCTCCAAATGAGGTGAGACATAGCGACTGTAAACCACGCTTTCCAGGGCTTAACTCTGGAATGACAGATAATTATTGCTGCAAGCTAGGATTACCCATAAATAGTTCTGACGAGATAGAGAAGAGCGAATGCGTGATAAGGTTTTGCTGTTTAACCTTTTGGAGTCGGTGACCGTGTGTCGGGAGCAGTACGTAATACTTGTCCACAGATCATTAAAGCTTCTCGTATTTTAGGCAATCATGTCGTTTCAATCGTGATTAGAAGCCAAAGTATTCATAGAAACTGTATCTTGGAATGTGTGCTGCAAATTTAAAGATGGAAAGAATACCGAGCACGTACACATTGACTCGGAGAAGGAGATGACATCCTTATATGAAAGGGCGGGTCGCAAAAGATGGTGTGACCATACATAGGTGTGAATTACTTAAGTTGGTGTAATCACACAGTAGTTTGGCAACACCGTAGCAAGAAGCCACCACGGGGCAGGGCTGCCAGTGTAATGCATATTACTAAACTCATTAGTTTTACTATAATAAGTACGTTTTACTGAATTATTAGGGAAATCTGGGGTTTATGATATTGGCGGCTCTGCCGCAGAAAACCAGATAAAAAACAGTTTCATTTTTGAATGGACGAGTGATTTCATCTTGCTTAAGGTCTTCACAACTCTTGGAGGCAGCGGATTGCGATCCGCTGCAAACGTACTAGTTGTTGGAAAGAACGTAAGCTCGGTGATCTTAGCTTAGCTTCCTCTACACAGAGCTAAGGCAGCCCCGCTGCACTTGTTAGCACTCGTAGTCAATCGACGCTTGAGTCGTTACGACAAATCCTCTGCGAGGACGGAGAAATACTCCTGTTTACCCCAGGACATGCAGATCGGGCTTGATAAGCTGATGTTCCTGCTGGGCCCTGATGGCGTTTAACACCTTTTTTATAGCAAGATCTCGAAGTGATAAACGCGCGCCTAAAGGTGTTTTCAAATTCTATTAGAGAACTTAGAGCAGAAGCTGTCAGCATCGACTACGTCAATGACGCCACCATCGACGACGGATGATTGCTTCCGACCCAGGCCGCTCATGGTGAGCGTTAAAACCTTTCTAGTCAAGGATGGGGGAATCTTCTGCTCTGGATGAGAGAGGCCAAGGTAGATATGGCAACCGCCATGTTAAGAAACGAGCAACAGGGCGTGGCGCTAGCTATTTCCAAGGTCGGGAGTGAAGCGCGAGAATGGTCACTAACGTACGGTGCCTCTGTTGAAGCAGCGTTCCCCTCCGTGAAAGAGCTAAAGAGTCAGCTTTTGCGAGGGATCTTGCCGCCTAATCAGGCATATCGCGTGCGATCGCGGTTCCTTACAGTCCGGGAGGGCAAAAAAGAGCTGGTGGACATTGTCCAAAAGTTGAAAGCTCTCATTGCCGGGATGCAAGCTGATCCTCTCCCCGAGGCGGTCACAGTGACCGTCTTTATGGAGGCCTCCGCACTGGCGTGGCCAGAATGGAAGTTTTTCGTGTTCATAGGTCCTCATTTGAAGAGGCGGTGAATGTGGCATTGAATGCCGAATTCAATTTCAAGTCG